ATTTTTTTTTTTAATTTTTTTACATATATTTTTTTATAAAAAATTAAAAAAATATCTAAAATCACCCTACGGATGACTAAAGTAGATAAGTACTACTTCACTGCACAATTTTAACATGAGTCTACGTGCCTGTTTGGCAGAACTTAAAAGCAGTTTATTTTAGCTTTCAGCTTAATTTAAGTTATTTTGATGTATTTGATTTAAGTTATAACTTATAGCTTATAACTTTTTGGAAGTTAGAAATTAGTTTATTCTTTGAGTGTGGCTGGAGATGCTTAATTTAAAAATTAAAAAAATATCTAAAATCACCCTACGGATGACTAAAGTAGATAAGTACTACTTCACTGCACAATTTTAACATGAGTCTACGTGTCTGTTTGGCAGAACTTAAAAGCAGTTTATTTTAACTTTCAGCTTAATTTAAATTATTTTGATGTGTTTGATTTATGTTATAACTTATAGCTTATAACTTTTTGGAAGTTAGAAATTAGTTTATTCTTTGAGTGTGGCTGAAGATGCTTAATTTATAAGTCAGAAATCAGCTTATGTTCATAGTTATAAGCTATAAGCTATAAGCTGTTTAGGCATAAGCTATAAACACTTTCCCACAGTTCTACCAAACAGGGCCTATGTGCGGAGAAATATACAGGAGGAAAATGAGTGGGAGCACTAATTAGTGCTACCACTAATGATGTGACAGTAGGCCCATCATGAATGATTTGATATTTTGACTTAGGTGTTGTATTTTTTTTTTTATTGAGTGCCATGTCATTAGTGGTCCTTTTAGAATTCTAAAATTAGTAGTCTCTATCATTGTTGTATACAGGATGGGATGCAATTTTTTTTACAATAATGGGGTTCGTAGGTTGCTTGTTTTAAGAAGTAGGTTAAGCACTTGTTTGAGAAGTTGGATTGGGATAGGTTGGGATTAAAACAGTCATAAAATGATAAAATAAATTTTTTAGTCTCAGGTTAAAAAATGTCATATTTAAATTATAATTATTTTATTTTTTTCTTACAAAAATAAAAAAAAATTCAAAAATCTATCTCAAACGAGATTTTTTAGCCCTAAGTTAAAATAGTCAAAAAATCGAAAAACAACTCACATCTTAAACGAAGCCTAAAAACTAATTTTTTTTGACTTTTTTTTGAAAAGATGTACAAAAAAATAGAGAGATGATGTGACCTAAAAAAAATTAAAAAATCAAAAAACTAATTTTTAACCAACTTGCCAAAATAAGCTAGGTAGAACTCACTATTTTTTAGAGGATTATATCCCATTTTGTATTTGATTTTGGCTTATTTTGGCAACATAGTTTTTAGTCACTTTTTTTGATTAGTAGCAAAAGCTAAAAGTTGACTTTTTTGGCTTTTTTTTTTCATTTGGGAAGTTGGTTTTTAGCCAACGGTGAAATTATAATTTTACCCTTCATGGGTCAAAATGTGTTACATAGATGAAGTTGTAAATATTTTAAATAAATGGGGGTAGTTTGGTCATTTTATTATGATTTGACATCATAAACAAATATTAATAAAAAAAATCAAAAGTCTACTAAATATTTAGTCATCAAAACAAATTATTTTCGTCTTATTTTTTTTAACTATTAAACTATTTAGTCGCCTAAGTCTCATATATTTTAGGCTACCAAATTTTTAGTCGCCAAAAATCTTTGGTTTCTTTTTGGCTACCATATATTTAGTTGCTATAAATATTGATCTCCTTTTTGGCTACCAATTGGTTAGTTGCATTCAAGTTCACTTTTTTTTTTTTTTTGGTTTTTTAAAAGAAAATATAAATTGACTTTCTTTAATATTTAAAAATATTGTAAACTTTATAAATTTAACATAATTACATAATAATTAATATATTTTTTATCAGTAATTTGTTAATTTTATTAATAAAAAAAATTATTATATCTTTTATATATTGAAATATATATTTTATCTTTTTTATTTTTGTAACTGTCAGTATTATCTATATTAATCTTAAAATTATTTTTATTTTTAGGAGGAGAATATATAGACATTTCAAGTAGAAATTCAAAAAATAATTTAAAATACATAAAAAAATTTATAAAATTATTTTTTAATATTATAAAATTTATCATTAATGAAATGAAATTCCCCCTTTTATTTATACCAAACTGCGGTGTAATTTATTAAAAAAAGAAAACCCTATTTAATAAGTTTATGGATTCCACAGCCAAATGTTTTGAAAAACCTATTTCTTTCTTTTTCGAAAATCAAAACCCTAAATTTCCCACTAAAATCAAACGTCCGTCAAAACACCTCCGTTAATTCCGCAGTAAAATCAAACAAGTTAACGAAATCCGTCATCTCCCTCCCTCCTCTATATATAAAGATATATATCACTCTACCCTAATTTCACTCCATCTCTCTCTCTCTCTCTGTCTCTCTCTCTCTCTCTGCAATTCTCTCTCTCTGCAAACCCACAAAAAAAATTCTCTCTACGAACCCACAAAAAAAAAAAAGCGTTCAAAATGAGAGAGATTCTTCACATCCAAGGCGGGCAATGCGGGAACCAGATCGGAGCCAAGTTCTGGGAAGTGGTCTGTGCCGAGCACGGCATCGACTCCACCGGAAGGTACTGCGGCGACTCAGATCTCCAGCTCGAGCGAGTCAATGTCTACTACAACGAAGCCAGTTGTGGCCGGTTCGTCCCCCGAGCAGTCCTCATGGACCTCGAACCGGGCACCATGGACAGCGTCCGGTCCGGCCCCTTCGGCCAGATTTTCCGTCCCGACAACTTCGTCTTCGGCCAGTCCGGCGCCGGCAACAACTGGGCCAAAGGTCACTACACCGAAGGCGCCGAACTCATCGATTCTGTTCTCGATGTCGTTCGCAAAGAAGCCGAAAACTGTGATTGCCTCCAAGGTATATATATATATATATCTACTTACATTTTCCTTTTTTTTTTTTTTGGATTCAAAATCCCTAACTTGTCACCGATCCTTCATGTTTTTACAATTTTGTTGAAAACTTAGTGCAATTTTTGATTATCTAATTTGATGAAAACTTGATTTGATACAAGTTTGATAAAAGGATTGGATCTTACTTTTACCAAAATATTTCATCAAATTTAGTTTTGATGAAGGATTTGGTGAAGAATTGGAGATGTTCTTGAATACATATAGGGCAGAGCAATTCTAGTTTGATGTTCCAAAATTTGCTCATTCAGTAGCTAGATCTGGTCTATTTATACCTAATTGTGTAAAGCTATGTTGTGAATTTTGATTATGAAAGGTTGATTTGGGTGTTTTGTGGGGGTTTTAGGGTTTCAGGTTTGTCATTCGTTGGGAGGAGGGACTGGATCGGGAATGGGGACGCTGTTGATATCGAAGATAAGGGAGGAGTATCCAGACCGGATGATGCTGACGTTCTCGGTGTTTCCTTCCCCCAAGGTTTCCGATACGGTGGTGGAACCGTACAATGCGACGCTCTCAGTTCATCAGCTTGTTGAGAATGCTGATGAGTGTATGGTTTTGGACAATGAGGCTCTTTATGATATCTGCTTTCGTACTCTCAAGCTCACCACTCCCAGTTGTAAGTTCTTCTCTCTTGTATCTTCAATTCAATCAATTGGTATATGGATAAAGTTTGTTTAAGTTTGCCTTGTGTTTGGCTGCTGAGAAAACATAGTAAGATTGAAAACTTGCTCTAATAATGTGTCAATTGTTTGTACTGATTAAAATGGTGAATCTTTTGAGAAATTTTGAGTTTTGTGACACGGCCAGTTTTGTAAATTTGTTTTCAAATACAGATTGAAACATATTATATGTACATAATTTAGGGTTTATTGAAGTGGGTTGAGGCACTTTTGTTTCTTCGATATTTGGGTTGGTCTGGTTCGGTTGTACCTAGACCGTCGGTATTTGTTGAAACATCACTTTCTTTCTCTGCTATTCTGGACGTTGATTTTGGCAGGTGTGATATAAATAAATTGTTAGCTGTATCACATTGGTCTTATGAATTGTTTAATTATATTAGCCCATCGTCTTTCTACACCTTTATTGTTTGTTTATAACAGTGGGCTTATTTCACGTGCATTAAATCTTAAAAGAGATCAATTAAGCAATACTGCCGCAGATCACGGAACATTTACTTCACACCCTGGCCCATCCCCTCCTTTTTTTGGTCAAGTCATCAAAATCAAAGACTAGGACTATGACTGAGGATGGTGTAGGCATGAGCACAGAGGATACCAGGTGTCTTGGTGTATTGTTTTTTTCCCCATATTAGGCCATTTAGTGTAACATGTGTTACATAAATGTAATGAATTAATTAAATCAATCTACATGGCATGGTTCATGTGTATCATCTCCTTTAAGAACCTTGTATCTTTGTTTCTGAAAAGCAAAATGCCAGTTGTGACATTTCACAATCATATCATTTCTTTTATCTAAGTTACCATTTAATGTTATGCCATTCTCACTCTGTAAAAGATCTACAAATACAAGCTTCTGTGATTTTATGTTTTGGGAATTTTGTCTATAAAAGGTATGAATAGTTTTTAAGAATGGTAGCATTTGAATTTGAGACTAATGGTTTTCTTGTTTGATCAGTTGGAGATTTGAACCACTTGATCTCTGCCACCATGAGTGGTGTCACTTGTTGCCTTCGGTTTCCTGGTCAGCTCAACTCTGATCTCCGCAAGCTTGCTGTCAACCTCATTCCATTCCCAAGACTCCACTTCTTTATGGTTGGTTTTGCACCACTTACATCTCGTGGGTCTCAGCAATACCGTGCCCTTACAGTTCCTGAACTCACCCAGCAGATGTGGGATGCCAAGAACATGATGTGTGCTGCAGATCCTCGTCATGGCCGCTACCTCACAGCATCGGCCATGTTTCGTGGCAAAATGAGCACGAAGGAGGTTGATGAGCAAATGATTAATGTACAGAACAAGAACTCATCATATTTTGTTGAGTGGATCCCAAACAATGTTAAGTCCACTGTTTGTGACATCCCGCCAACGGGTCTGAAGATGGCTTCAACCTTTATTGGAAACTCTACTTCAATCCAAGAAATGTTCAGGAGGGTCAGTGAGCAATTCACAGCTATGTTCCGTAGGAAGGCTTTCTTGCATTGGTACACTGGAGAGGGAATGGACGAGATGGAGTTCACGGAAGCTGAGAGCAACATGAATGATTTGGTCTCTGAGTACCAGCAGTATCAGGATGCAACTGCTGATGAGGAAGGGGAGTACGAAGAGGAAGAGGGTTATGAGGAGGATGCTTAAAGACAGCACTGCCATCTGAAATAGTGGTGTTTGGTAAATGAAATTGTGATTTTGTTGTGTTTGAATATTTCTAGTATGTGGGATTGCTTTGTTTCTATGTTGGATCCCAGTCTTTGGGTCTGCTCTTTGCTTTAGCTTTGTTATTCTCACAGTTTGCTGGTTTATTTTGGATTCATGTTATCTTGAAGTAGTATATGCTAAAATGCGTCATTATTGGCTGTTTTCTATTTCTGTGTGTGACAATTATAGAATTTTGCAGCACAGATCAACTGTTGAACTTGTCCTATACTCGCTGAGCTCTAATAGATGCTCTGCAAGCCTTATGCCCAATTAGCTACTGTATATATAGCATGCATTTGTAGTTCAATTAGCAACATGCATTCAACAGAGACCTTGAGTTGCCTGTAATTTTGTGCATTTTTTTTAATTATTATCTGGTGGGAAAGGGACATTCGAACCGTTCCTGATATACACAATAAGCTTCAAATTTGGTCATGAGCTTATGTTTTCCATTTTTTGCCCTTGGAAAATAGTCATTTATTTGTTTCGACAAGTGGTTTCTGCATTTAGACGATGATCATTGATAGCAGCATTTTTTGATCACTTTTAATTGAGTTATTTGCTACCCATCCTTTATTTAGTTGGAAATTCTTCTGTCCTTTGGACAAAGCTGTGACAAATCTTTCTGGGTTTTGGAAGTCGGGGAACTATTTGGCCTACAATTATAGATGTCTATAATTGAAGGTGCGTACTACCCATCATTTCTAACCCCTTTTGAAGATGATGTTTACACAACTTTCAGATTCCATAAGAATAAATAGCTGAAAAAATTATTTGGTACTCTTGGGATATCACGTGATGTTATTTTTCATCAATTACAAACTCTCACATCCTTCTGAGATTTTTCAATCACTAAAATATAAAGTTGTGAATCTTATCTGTTTTATCAATCACAACATTCTTATCCAATCACTAAAATATAAAATTGTGAACTTTACGTCTTTTATCAATTACAACATTCTTAAGGCAACATTCAAGGTCAATCAATAACTTCATAAATTACTGACCGTTTATCCTGTTGGCTCCTTTTAGGGCCCAGAAGATACCAATAATCCACAATTTTTAAAACCACATCACATACATTTTCCTTCCACTAGACACCAATAATTGCGACAACCCATCACTTGACCAAAAATTAGGGGAATAAATAATAGTAATTTTTCTGCCATCATCAATTCTCCAAAAAATTAGACGAATAATAGTAATTAGACTTTGGCCTGGTTTAGTTTGTGTTGAGATACTATTTTAAAAATAATTTTTTAGAAAGTTTAAAAAAATTAAAATTTTATTTGATGGTATATTTTGAAAAGAAAAATGATATACAAGTCTATTTTTTAAACCTATTTTCTAGTCCTAGTCACGTGTCATGAAAATAATTGGTTGATATTTAAATATTTTTAATTATCAACCAATTGTCTTCTTAACACATTACTAAATTTAGAAAATGAATCTAATTTTTTTGATTTGAATAGCAATATGAAAAAATGTTTTGTAGCTCGAATTATTTGTGGCTTGAATGGCCCGCATCTCCTTCTCTCCCTCTGTTAATCTCTCTCTCTTTGCTTGTTTATCTTCCTCTGTCTGTCTCCCTCAGCACATCATTCTCACTTTCATCTCCTTCAGGATTTGCATCATCGTCGTTCTCCATCGGTGACCACTGTCCGCCATTCTTTATCGGCAATTGTACGGGGAGCAAATATTCCGGCGAGCCCGTACTCCTTTCTTCCAAGCTCCTTGTCTGTCCGATCGACCTGCGAACACAACGGCGGTGAGCTACCCGGCGGTGTGTGGCCGGAAAACCCCTCCGACGGTCAAGTTAGCACACACTCAAGGATAGAGAGAGAGAGGAGAGAGTTGAATGTCTAAGTGTATCTCACCAAAAATGATCATCTGCCTCAGCATGGGGGGCGCAGACACGCTTATATACCTTCTACGCCCCAAATCTATTCGCATTAGTCTCTCGACACGTGGTGTTGCTATCCTATCTGTCAGCACAAATCCAGCAATCACCACCTAACCAAACTGTCAGGATATCTTGGCGGAGCCCGGCAGACTGGCGGAACCACCTCGGCTTCTTATAACCGCGATGCACGGCGTATCTGAGTGATCCACTCGCCGAGCCCCAGAACGACCGAGCTTGGTTGCATTCCGGCAAGCCGAGCTCGAGGTAGGTCGAACCGGTTAGCTGTAGGCCTTCCTGCCGGGCTGAACGCACGAACCGTGGAATCTGGAATGACAGGCAGTCATCTCGGCCGAGCAACTTCAAGCAGCCCGGTTTCTACACAAATGAGCCCAAGCAGCTCGGCTCAACATGGCTCTGTGCCTTAACCAAGCAAAACCTCTCTGGACAAGCCCAAGATATCGCGACCCAAACGTGTTCGGCACTCAACTTGCCCGGCCTTTGCCATGGCCCATTTCAGCTCATAAAATCTCCCTCTCAATTGCCCCTTAATTCCGTCCGCACAAGCGTGACTGGGATTACATGATCCAACCGGGGTAGACTCTTCCTCGGTCCTCAGTTTGCAAGTAGTTAACCGTGCTAGTCGACATGCCTGGTTTCCAAACTTGCCCGGTCGACGCCTCATATCGCCTCCCTATCTCTTCAACTCTTACGCCGCCATTAATTGGGACATGCTTCGCTTGTTTATTGGCCTCGAGCAGCTAACCCTCACGTCCCTTCACATTCAAAAATTTTGGCGGTCTCTCTCTCTCCCATATATACGTCATTTCTCCCTTCATTTCGTTCTTACTGACTCTCTTTCAGTTCTTGACATTCCAGAGCTCCAGAGCCTTCGAAGAGCTTCCTTCTTGCGTCTTGCTGCATTCGTGCTTGAAGACTCACCTCCAGCCCCATTCTGGTAAGTTCTTCGACCCCTTTATTGCTATTTCATTTGACATTCTTCGTTTCAGGGCACAAAAACGATAGATTTTAGGGTATAGCTCCCCAAAACCCTCACATGCCCCTTGTCCTCCTTGCTGTTCTTCAGCCCCAGTGATGAACACCTGAAGATCTGGGGCGAACCGGGCTCCAGGTCTTTTCTTGATCCCAAAAAACATTAAGACCGAGCAAATTGCTAGTTTTAAAAAAACTTCTGTAGAAACCGAGGTAGGCAGAGTACTTGACCGGTCGACTGGGCTAATATCTGGTCCGCTTGACCAGTCGTGCTCTTGTATTTACCTTCATGACCGAGGTGGTCTGGCACTCCATCAGACCGAGCTAAAGTCAAGCTCGTTTTGCGCGACCACGCTTCCACTTACACTTACCCTCTTTTTCCTGTAGAGTCCAAGGGGACCACACCAACTCCGAAGCTCTCTAAGACCGAGCAGCCATCAAGCAAAAGTTTGTGCCAAACCACCTCAGCCGAGCTAAAACCAGCCGGCCACACATGGGGTGCTACCGCTTCCTGGTTGACACCCCGATTGCTCTAGCCACGTTCCGGAAAGAATACGGTATCCTAGACGACGTTCACTTAGAGCTCGGCGCTGAGGACACAACCCCATAGGACAGATTAGACCAGTGTCCCTTCACCGTGTTGTCCATTATAGAAGGGGGCCTCCACTTCCTGGTTAACCCGCTGATCTACGAGTTCTTGCGGCGCACCGGGCTAGCTCCAACCCAGGTCTCAACCAACACTTACAGAATAATCAACGGGATCCACGAACTGGGCAACAGGCTAGGAACCAACCTAGGACTAGCCGAGATATTGCACCAGTATACTCTCGGGCATACAGGCGGTGGCCTTGCCTACTATTTAAAAATCAAACCGGGTAAGGAGAAGATAGTGACCGGCACCCCAGACAAGGACTTGCACGACGATGACTTTTTCTGAGTGTCTGGTAACTACGAAACAACCAACGTACCGGGCTGGTTTATCAGCAAAAATTTCGGCGAGACATGTAAGCCGCGCTAACTGCTCGGTTAATTATCTTTCTCCACTATTCTGTACTTAGCATTTTTTTTTCTTTCCTTTGCAGCAATCCAAGCTTTGCAAGCCAACTATCACTATCCCAACGAAGCAGCCATCAGGACCGTGCTTCGTTACAGAAATCGAGATTGCCACGAGCTCCTCAGTTACGTGCCGACATACCGATATTCAGCCCCACGCCGGAGTAAGGTTACAGACTTTCTCCGCGCTCCGTCACCTCCTCTAGACCCCGCATTGCCAGACGTGCCCTTCATTCGGTTAACCGAGGCAGAAGAGATGGCAAAGAGAAGCCGCATCAAGAATGTCATCATTGCGACTTCTACCAAGCTATCGAGCATCCCAACCCGTACAGCCGCTGTCGGGCAATCAAGCGGGACCGTGGTCGCACTGGCGTTTCCCGCCGCCGGGCAAGCAAGCAAAGACAACCGCCGAGCTGGAAAAAGGCCACGTGTAGACCCTTCCGCTGAACTGGTCGCAGAGCTAAATACCGAGCAACCTGCCGTCATAACCGACCCAACACCGACATGGAGGCCGCAACTCAAGCACCGGGACAAGGAGATCCCAGCAACCGCCTCAGTCAAAGGTGACAAGGAGCACCTACTGGCTTTCGATCTGACCAAGGCCTTGCTGCTGCCGAGCGACGTGGTCGGCAGCGACCACGTGCCAGACACCCGGCTGGTGAAGTCTTCGGTGAAGTCCATGACCAGGATAAGAACTTCACACACTTTGCCCAAAACTTTCCAAGTGTTTGCTCGGCCTTCTCTCTAATTGAACCTTCTTTTTACAGGCTATCCAGAAACAACACTTGGTCTTGGAGCGCATTCACCGACTCCGGCAGAAGGCCACTGACTCTGCCAACCAGGTGGAACAACTTCATCCCGAGCTCGGCCGGTCCAAAGCATCACTGCAGATGGCGAACTCTGATAATTCCAGGTTGCTCGGCCAGTTTAGAACAGCTGAGAAAGAAAGGGACGCGTTTCGGGCCAAGCTGGAGACTTTGAAAGAATCAAATAAGAATGAGCTGGAAGACGCCAACAACGCCGGTTTCAAGAAAGCCGAGGAGAGCTACACCAAGCAAGTCCATGCCACCCAAGATATCTTCTTCAAGGCGGGATGGAAGGCTGCTTGTGAACAGCTCGGCCAAGGACCTGGGACTGATGTGTTCGCGTCTCCCCCAGTTGCCTTCCTGCCGATGTACCTTGTGCCATATGCCAACGACGTCTTCAACGCGTTGCAGGTTG